GGGGGGGTGACGTAGGCGAGCCCGCGCCCTGGGGCTTGCGGCGGCAGCAGCGCGGGCCTTGGGCACTGCCCATTGTCCGGCTCGCTTGGTGCTGCTACTGCTATGCGTTTGCCTGTGTTCTGTTGTGCTTGTCCGCTTCATGTGTTGCTGCGTTGAGTGCATCGTGTGTCCGCCGCATGTCCGCTAAGCGGATAGATGACTCATACGAACAAAAAGTAAACAAAATCCGTGTCCATTTAGGTCCCTGCGTTCGAGTTGCTCTCAAGGACTTTGCCTCAAAAATAAAAATAAACCCCACTGTCAAGGATCGAAAATTCAGCAATGGCCAACATATTTGCATGTGGCCGTCAACCGTTTTTTTATTCTACCTTGCCCCCAAAATTCTCGGATAAAGTACTAGTCCGAAGAAAAAAGGCGCTAGTATGATACTGAAAAAGGACGGATGCAAGTTGCCAAGTGCCCAAGTTGACCATTATTGTACAAGGCCAACCAGCAAGGCATCATCAGCAGTGACGCCAGAGCCGCCTCCTTCTCCGCTGCTTCAGTTTTCTTGGAGCACATATACATACAGCATTGACTTGCTGAATGGTATAGATCAGTCAAAACCAGCTCAAATTAACTCGCGAGCACACACGACGAACCGAATATATCAGTCGTCGAAGCGTAAGCCAGTGTAAGCACACATGGAGCAGCAGAAGCAGGACGCCGCCGAGGACGTGGTCATTGTCGGCGCCGGCCTCGCCGGTGTCGGCGTCGCCCTGGGACTCCACAGGTACGCCGGCACACCAGTCACATCTCCACAGAGGCAGAGACGACTCACATGCTCTCTGAATTCGTCGTGAACGCTAGCCAGCTTCTTCATTTGTGTTGTGTACATGTGGCATGTCGGCTTCACTAAACAAGGGTCGCTGGATGAATGCAGGAAGGGCGTGCGGAGCGTGGTGCTGGAGTCGTCGCCGGCGCTCCGGACGTCCGGCTTCGCGTTCATGACATGGACCAACGCCTTCCGCGCGCTTGACGCCCTCGGCGTCGGCGACAAGATGAGGAGCCACCACCTGCAGGTGCAGGGGTACGTATACACTACAGCTCGATCTTGATCTGGATCTCCATCTTTTTCTGAAGCTTATCACGATCATACATATATCGAGTTAGCCGTGCTGACGGCGTACTGTTCATTTTTCTCCTCTCGAATGGATAGGGTGCGTGTCATGTCTCCGACTACCGGGCAAGTGGTGCGAGAGCTGGATCTCCGGGTGCAAGGAAAACTGTGAGATGTCCACTCCATTCACCATCGGATCAAACCCAAACTTGCTCCATTCTTGGGTGAATTCATCTGTTTGCTTCTTGATTAATGCAGGGGACCCCACGAAGCCCGGTGCGTGCAGCGGAACGTGCTGCTCCAGGCGCTGGAGGAAGAGCTTCCGGCAGGCACCATCCGCTACAACTCCAGGATCGTCTCCATCGACGACGACAAAGAAAAAGACGGCGGCGGCGATGCCAAGATCCTGCATCTCGCCGACGGCTCGACGCTCCGAGCAAAGGTGCTGATCGGCTGCGACGGGATCAACTCGGTGGTGGCCAGATGGCTGGGGCTCGCCAAGCCGCTCGACTCCGGGCGCAGGGCCACGCGGGGGCACGCCAAGTACTCCGACGGCCACGGGTTCCAGCCCAAGTTCATGCAGTTGAGCGGCAACGGCTTCCGTGCCGGCCTGGTGCCCTGCGGCGACACGGACGTGTACTGGTTCCTGACGTGGTCACCTTCCTGTCCGGACGGCAAGGAGGACGTCGACCAGAGCCCGGCGGAGATGAAGCAGTTCGTCCTGGCCAAGCTGCGGAGCATCATGGCACCAGACGAGGTTCTGGATGCGGTCGAGAGGAGCGAGATGAACGACGTCCTCGTGGCGCCGCTGCGGTACCGCCCGCCGCTGTCGCTCCTGTTCGGGAGCATCAGCAAGGGGAACGTGTGCGTCGCCGGCGACGCGCTCCACCCCACGACGCCGGACCTGGCGCAGGGCGCGTGCATCGCGCTGGAGGACGCGGTCGTCCTCGCGCGGTGCCTCGGCGACGCGATGGACGGAGATGAGACGATCGAGGCGGCTCTGCGCCGGTACGCCGGGATCCGGCGGTGGAGGAGCGCGCAGGTGATTGCGGCGTCCTACATGGTGGGGCGTGTGCAGCAGAGCGAGCACGCCGTGGTGAGATTTGCGCGCGACAGGCTGCTGTCAGGGGTGCTCGCCAAGGGGCTCCTCATGATGCCCGACTACGACTGTGGCACGCTTTGACTGCCAGTGCGAGGGGTCTCGTTCTGGCAGAAGCCATTTGTAACGCAGTCTCCTAAAATCTTAGTCGAACAAGTCTAAGTCGATTCTGTAGTCGTTTATATTCGTGAGATCCTATATTAAGATATATGTAAAAAAATCATTTTACATTTTATTCTTATAGAGGCGCATCTGCCTCCCGGGTCGCTCCTCCAGGCGACTTCGGAGGCCTTCCCAGCCGCCACTCGAGAGGCCACCCGATCCTCCCTTCCTCCCTCCCGCACCACAGGGGTGGCGGGGCCCCAACATGCATGGAGGTGCGGCCGATCTAGAAGCGGCGGCGATGGCTTCGACGGCGGCGGCGGTCGGCCCTGCCTCGGGCCACGGACGGCTGCTGCGGCGGCTGGCCTGGATCGGGCGGCGGCGCGATGCGGTCTTCAGCAGCATGTCATCTGGCTTTAGATCGGCGAAGGCGTCGAGGGCCTGGTGGACTGCTTGGCGGCACATGGCAGATCTGTTCTGGCTGGTGTAGCTAGTGGTGGTGGTCATCTTCTTCGTCGAAGGTGGCCGGCCAGAGGCTTGCTGATTTGATCTCGAGATCCATCATCCAGTCCCGGCTGCGAGTTGGGGAGACATGGTTGCCGGTGAAAACCGAGCCGACGACAGGCGATGGCGGCGTTCTACGCCGTTACCTTAATGAAGGCATCGTCGTGTAACTACTGTCGACCCACTCGTGCTCCTCCAGGGGAAACCCTAGGACCTGGTGTTCCAGATCGGACGATGGCGGCACTGCGGTGCCGTTTCTCTATTGGGAGCATCCTTTGTGGAGCGGCTTCGTCTTGCACGGAACTTCGGTGGAGATGTCAAGTCATGCCTGACCGACAGGTGCTACGCTTTGTCATGCCTGGTCGGCAGGTGCTACGCACGACAGATCTTCCGAAGACTTCAAGCTGCGTCGGCTGGTGGTACTTGAGAGTATGGCGCTGAGGTGTATCAGTGGCGACCGCGACGTGCTCAGTTGTTTGCGCGCAGGGAGGAGGTGCCGTTGGGCGACATGGTGGCGTCAACGATAGCTGGACCGAGTAAAGTTGATGCATCAGTACAGTTCTGAAGATGGAGCGGTGACAGTTGGCGGCGGCGGCCTATGAGAGCACGCCGGACCGGTGTGACCCATGCCCGGCAGGCGTCCTGGATGGGACCTCAGGTCTTAGATGTTAGGTTTGGCTGCGATGTCTGTTCTGTATTAGGCCCAGGCTATCTGCGCCCCTTCATCAACTGGATAGATGTAGCGACGGTTTGTTGTTTAGACGACGGCTTTAGTCTTACTATTGTATTATTTTGTAAGGTCGTGTGAGAATAATTAATAAAGTGACCGTATGCATCGCCCAGATGCAGAGGCCGGGGGTCAACCTCCTTTTAAAAAAACATTTTGTTATTATATGTTATGTCATTTGAATAAGACTTGAATGTTAGTGTTATACTTTGGCAATGCCAAATGACTCTAAAATGGTGTTTGAAATTCTCGGAACAATACAAACACACGACTTTTGCAATGCGTCCTATATTGGCAGCGGGAGAAACTGAAGTGGACTGTACTCTTCTTATTGTTCGTTAGCTCGGAACAATACAAACACACGACTTTTGCAATGTGCCCTATATTGGCAGCGGGAGAAACTGAAGTAGACTGTACTCTTCTTATTGTTAGATAGCCCATCGTGTTCATAGGCAGCGTCTCTGTCATGTGGGCTGTGAGCTTGTCATGGAGGGAAGGAGATGGATGGCGACGAGAGCAAGAACAAGGTAGGGTTTTTTTAACCTGGAGAACAAGGTAGTACTATTTGTAGAATATAAACGTCGGAGTTTTTTTTTCTTTTGTCGCTCCGCAACAACACATGGGTATTTCGAAACATGACAAATACATAAACCTGAAAATCATCAAAGTACGTGAACGGCGGCTTATTTAGTTAGATTAGCAGCGACCCGGTCCACCGCCAAGAGTAGGTAGCATCTCATCACACACCATACGCTGCTTACAGTGAGTGAGGTGCACATATGTCTCCCCTCCCTGGCCTAAGCTCAGACGTCAGACCAGGTGACCTTGAACTCCCCAATCGACTCCTTGAGCCCCAGCGCCTTCCAGACCGCCGGTGACCCGTCCACGGCGTTGTTCGGGCACGGGGGCTCGAAGTTGTGCTCCGCGTCGCACCCGTTCACTGAGTCGCACTCGTCCACCACCTTGGCCAGCACTGACCGCCCGTTTCCGTTGATGCGGATCATCTTGTTGCACCTGCGCGTGCCGTCCAGGCGCAGCCACCCCGAGGACAACGCCACCACCCGCGCGCTGTCCGGGTGGAACTTGTTGTCGCAGAAGGACTTGCCTCCCCCGTCTCCTCCGGCCGCGAAGCTGTTCAGCGTGAGGATCGCCGGCGTCTTCGCGGACACCGGGGGCGAGCACTTGAACTGCGGGTAGCGGTGGCCGGAGGCGCAGCAGTCGGAGCCGTGCTCCGGGTTGCACTTGCCGGCCTTACCCTGGAGGAAGCCGCTGATGTGGCATTTACCGCCGCCCCCGCCGGCGCCGGGCCGCTTTGCATGCTTGTGCGTGAGGCTGATGGCCCCGGAGACGCCATGGACGTGGAGGAGGAGCGACAGGACCTGGAAGAGAGCAAGCACGGCCAGCAGCTTCCCGTTAGCCATGTTTGTCACTTGCCTGCAACCTATACGTCGTCTCTGACTCTGTGTGTGTGTGCAGGTACGCGTCGATCAACCTCCTTTATATAGAGCCCAATGAACAGCAACTGCTATGCATGTTGTTTTCACCGGGCGTGTTAATTCAGCCCGATTTCTTCGGTTTCGCAACCCCCAGCTGGTCGCTTGGTGTTACGCCTGTAAATTCGGGCGATTAAAATGCCGCGTGTCTATCACAGTTTTGTTTGCGAGCCAGCCGCCAGCCACCAACCTTTTTTTGCCGGAGAAGGCTAAAAATGTTTTGTTACCCACAAGGGTGCAGACATTTCTCAATATCCGAGCGAGTGAGATTCCAAGGTATATGCAGTTAACTAGGTTGAGACTGTTTGTATCTACTCCCTCTGTTCCGAATTACTTGTTTTAGATTTGTCTAAATACGGAGGTATGTAGCACTAAAATGAGTCTAGATACATCCGTATTTAGACAAATTCAAGACAAGTAATTCGGAACGGAGGGAATAGTGTTGTCGGTTCCTAGCTAAGTTGAGAGTATTTGTATCGAGTGTTGTCGTTTCCTACTATCTTGTATCTGGATGGAATATATGTTCACACTCATTTGTGGCGTTCCCCGAGTTCTCTGCAACTCCTCCGCAAATGCTATTTCTCGCCTGGTGCGAGTCGTAATACATCTCGCCGACGACCCATGTGCCACTGGGCTGGCCCAATACTGTTGCTTCACGCGAGTTATTTTTCTATTTTTTTCACAAAGATGCTAAAATCATACGAAACTCTAGCATATGGAGATAAATTAAATTGAAGAATATTCTACCAAAGACAAATAACTTCTGCATGAAATAATACAAAGTCTCCATATCATGTATCTAGCTAATAGTTTTCTATGGTCTGAAATGCCATAACAACACAACAACATCACCCTTCTAGTTTATATTCTACATGTCCGCGCCGGGCGACTCGGGGGACCCTACCGCCCCAGCCGTCGGCCCCCCCCTCGCTGACCTTCCTCCCCCCGCCGCCGTCGCCGGAGGAGGTCGTCCCACGGCAGACGGCGGCGGCGGGGCGCTCCTGCCTGTTTCTTTTTCATTAGCCTGGGCACTCTTCACCGATCCAGTCGTCTCGGATCTGATCTAGGCTTGCGCTTCAGTCGGCGGCCGATAAAGTCTACGTGCACAATCATACCCCAGCGCATGTATGCATGTACATGGGGCAGGATGCATTAGACCTGCCAAATCGGAAGGCCACGACGCAGCAATGCAGTGGCCAGATCGTGAGGACAACGACACAGGACGGCGGTGGCCGGATCGTGAGGCCGACAACACAGGACGGAGGTGGCCGGATCGTGAGGCCGACGACACAAGATGGTGGCGGTCAGATCATCAGAGCACCGACAGCTGCTCGTGGACACGGGTCTGGTCCACGCGACGCCATGTTGCGACCGGACCGAGTTCATGGGTTTTGTGGAGTCCGTCGTGTCGCCGGCAATCTGCCGTCACAGCACATGGACCGCCAGGTGATGAGCCACTCGCGGACGTACGTCTGGTCCACACGACGCAGAGTTGCGACCGGAGTGAGTTCGTGGGTGCCAGAGGTGTCCGTTGAGTTGCCGGCAATCAACTGCCGCAACACATGGACCGTCGGGCGCCAAGAGTGATAGTCCCCAACAACAGGCTCAAGAGGGACATTACATGGCAGGTTTGCTTTGCGGGGTTGGTGCGGCTAAGCTCCTTGACCGGATCTCCGCACCAGCAATCGGCTTAATTTTCTGTCGCTGTACTCGATCATTCTTATGGACCTATCACACTCCGATTTGTCGGCACCATGAGGTACGCCAAGGCATATTTACCGGCAATTACCGTGGTGCTAACAATGATGGGGAATCTCAAGATGGTTTTGCCGGATCAAATGACCAATGGATCTCGATGGCTCATGTGGACTTTGAGATTTCAAATGACGACGGAGGCGAGTTTGGTTGTGGTGAAGATTGTGGACCAGATGATCGGCGTTTTGCAGGAGTACCGGCTAGCAGGCGCGACAACACATGTTGACTTCTTATTGGTGGTGCTTTTTGGGCACAAAGTCTCGACTTCCGGTATGAAAACCCTTGGTCCGACCTTCACTGGTTGTACCTGGCAATGGCGGATCTCTATTCGTCTTCTTGTTGGAGGCATTGCTTGGAGTTCAGTCAGACTTTCTTCAGGGTGAAAACCCATGATCTGTGCTCAGGCGGCGACTGTGTTGGTGCACGGTTCCTTCTTGGAGGCGTCGTTCTTGGAGAACCTTTTTTGCAGTCCTTGTGTGGTCTTGATGGCGGTAGTTCCTCCTACTTCGCTGATCTGTTTGATGTTTTTCTTTTCTCTTTTCTTTTGGTTGTGTGCATCCTTGATGTCTCGACGAGCTCTTGACATTATGTTGTTCCAGAGGCAGAGTGTAATTGATATCCGATTGATATTAATATATTTCCATTATAAAAAAAAGACTTATATTTTTATAGACACGGTAGAAGACAGATGCTCACATACATTCACCCCTATGAACGTTCACACGCACATCCTATCACTATAAGCACCTCCGAAATACTTAGCCGCACAACATCTTGAGATTAACAAAGTCATCACAAACGCCAAATAAATTTCCACAAGAAACCTAACCATCTGAGGTATCCTCAGTTCACTAAAAAAACTTACTTTAGTGGCTTGAAATTAAAATAAAGTACTCTAAGAGCTCGGGAGCCAGCGATCCCACTGCGCCTATCCCTCAATTTCTCCAACCAAGTGAGCCGTAATCTGTAACTTATCAAGTTTAGCTTAGCCTCTCCCCGTATCTATATGGCCGGCGGTGGAAAATGAAAAGAAATTGACCAGCTCACCTCGGGCAGTCAGACGCAAACACTTGATCATGTTCACTCAGTTTCGAGGCAAGGCATGGGCCATTTGCTTCAAAAGAAAAAGAGATGCATGGGCCATTTGTTTGTTTACTTGCTTGGATGCAACCTGCATCATCAGCAGTGACGCCATTCTCCTCTGCTTCTTTTTCTTTTCTTCAAGCAAAGGATACCCTTTCTCCGGTTTCATCTCATCTCATCTCATCTCATCGAGGCTCCCTCTTGCTGATCGAGGCTGCAGACATATTTATATATATAGAGAAAAGTCCACATTTCAACCCTCAACTAACCATGGCGTTTGATTGTCAACCCTCAACTCTAAAACCGGTCGGATTTCAACCCTGAACTTGTCACACTGTCCACTTTACCCCCCTTGACTCGGTTTGAGGCTAGTCAAGTGGTTTTGACCCGGTCAAAGCTGACTGGGCAACCCAGTCAGCATGCCACGTGTAAATCTAAAAAATGGATGATTCTCTCAATCTATAAATCCATTAAAGTTGAAAATTTCCCAGGTATCTAAACATCATATGAGTGTTGTTGTGTAAAAATTTCAGAACTTTCTGGGCACTTTTTTTTCGGTTCAAAATTTTGACCGAATAGTGGCTGAATTTGAAAAATTGATGGTTCTCTCAATCTATAAATCCATTTAAGTTGAAAATCTCCCAGCTATCTAAACATCATATGAGTGTTGTTGTGTAAAAATTTCAGAATTTTCTGGGCACTTTTTTTTTGGGTTCAAAATTTTGACTGAATAGTGGCTGAATTTGAAAAATTGATGGTTCTCTCAATCTATAAATCCATTTAAGTTGAAAATTTCCCAGCTATCTGAACATCATATGAGTGTTGTTGTGTAAAAATTTCAGAATTTTCTGGGCACTTTTTTTTCGGTTCAAAATTTGGGCAGCATTTGGGCAGCATTTTGATACCATTTGGTAGCATTTGGTCATCATACGGAAAAGATGATTGCAAACACACATAGATGTCTCAAATAGAAAACATAGATGTCTCACACACAATACATAGATGAGGTCTCACACACAACACATAGATGTCTCACACAATACATAATGCATTTCTGGCAAGCAGCGATGTTGCTAGCTGATTCATGATTGAAGTCCAAGCAGCCTTCGAAACCCCGCATACTTCTTTGTGTGCTTGACAACTCTGCTGCTAGCTCTAGCGCTAGAATTGCCGGTAGATACATTAACATTGACATTGGAGCTTCTTTGCACATTAATTATATTTCCGGAGAAATTGTTGGACCTGCTGTTGCTTCCAGCTGGCGCCCTTCTCTTTGGGTTAGGTGCAGCCACTTCCTCAGTGGCCTTCCGTTTGCTCTGCCTAGTGCTGCTCTGGCGTGAAGGCTACAAGAAACATGGCAAATGTTAGTTATATATACATGATAGTGTAATCAGGTTTGCTCATGCATATTTCCTGGATAGTGTACCATATCTGGCCCTTGACTAGCACATGGTGCTTGGCTACTTGTTGCAGTTTGGCTTGTAGCAGGCTGTTTGGAAGCAGCTGATGGTGCTTTGCTTCTAGCAGGACCTTGGCCTTGCTTAGGAGTTGGTGTATTTGAACTCCCTGTGCCATTTCTTGCTTTGCATGATGTCCTGTTGTGCCCATGTAGCTTGCACATGCTGCATCTTATCTTTGTACCTCTCTTAGAATTTTCATCAACTAATGCCATCAATCCATCAGACAATTGTTTTCCAGGATATAACCAATGCAGCATCATGATTACTCCTTGTCGAGCGACACTGTAATGCACTTTCAGATTTAGAATGAGAGTGCGTAAGGATAAACTGCGCCGCTCAACATGAGCAATTTCCTCGCTGCCTCCAACTATTCCAAATTTTGACCCTCACGCACAAATGCACCATTGAAATGGAATCGCACAACAAAGAAATCCAGAGGATCCATTCAATCTACAAGAGATGAGAAAACAGAATAAGAAATCATTACTACGGTTTCAGCAACAGAGAGAGGGGGAAAATCACTATTAACAAGGGGTGCAAGGGCAGGACCAGCAGCAGCAGCTAGCCCAAGCTAGCAGCTTGCCGGCGGTGGCAGCACCAACAACTCGCCCAAGCTAGCAGCAGCAGCTCGCCGACGGCTAGGGTTAGCAGCAGCAACTAAAATCTAAGGGAAACAGAGGGAGGAAGGGAGGGAAGAGAGGGCAAACCTGCGGTGGAGGTGGAGGTGGTGGCCACGGCCGGCGGCGTTCCAGGCCGCGGTGGAGGTGGTGGCCGCGGGCGGCGGCGTCCCAGGCCGCGGTGGAGGTGGTGGCCGCGGGCGGCGGCGTCCCAGGCAGCGGTGGAGGTGCTGGCCCCGGGCGGCGGCGTCCCAGGCGGCGGTGGCGGCGCGCCCGGTTACCGGTCGCCGGCGAGGAGGTCGTGGCTGCGGGCGGCGGCGACCAACGCGGCGGCAGGTCGATTTGGATCGGGGTGAGACTGAACAAACAAGAGAGAGATGGGGATAAGGTTGGACCTGTGTGCGTGGCATGCTGACTGGGCTGCCCAGTCAGCTTTGACCGGGTCAAAACCACTTGACTAGCCTCAAACCGAGTCAAGGGGGGTAAAGTGGACAGTGTAACAAGTTCAGGGTTGAAATCCGACCGGTTTTAGAGTTGAGGGTTGACAATCAAACTCCGTGGTTAGTTGAGGGTTGAAATGTGGACTTTTCTCATATATATACACACACTCACCAGGCATGCTCGATTTGCTCAACGGTCAACGCCTTCCCAGTGCACCACTGTTCAGCTCAAGTCTATCGAGCAAACCATAATCCTTCAGTCAGTCAGCCAGCCCCATAACTCCATAAGCCATGGTAAACATGGTGGAGCAGCAGGACGCCGGCGAGGACATCGTCATCGCAGGCGCCGGCGTGGCAGGCCTCGCCGTCGCCCTGGGCCTCCACAGGTAAAGCAGAGCCACCTCCTCCAGCCTGTACATACATACATATGTCTGCATCACTGCATCCTGAATTGATCAGATGGGGATGATGAACCGCAGGAAAGGCGTTGGGTGCGTGGTGCTGGAGTCGTCGCCGGTGCTCCGGACTTCCGGGTTCGCGATCGCCGCATGGACGAACGCCTTCCGCGCGCTTGATGCCCTTGGGGTAGGCGACACCATTAGGAGTAAACACCTGCAGATCCAACTTCTAATCACTCGACTTTTTGTAGTTGGACTTAATTAGTTAGATGTTTTCCTTCCGTAGGGCGTGTGTCATGTCTCCGACAACAGGGGACGTGGCGCGAGAGATTGATCTCCGGGTGCAAGGAAAATGGTAAGACACGGATCCATAATCTCTAATCTGAATTGCGGACTTGGTTCCAAGCCGTGGAATAGAGCTACTCTGTTCTTCGTGGACTAATCCTTGACGATGCAGCGGACCCAATGAAGCCCGGTGCGTGCAGCGTAACGTGCTGCTCCATGCACTGGAGGAAGAGCTTCCGCCAGGCACCATCCGCTACTCCTCCAAGATCGTCTCCATCGACGACCAAGACGGCGACGGCGACGGCGATGCCAAGATCCTCCATCTCGCCGACGGCTCCATTCTCCGTGCAAAGGTACTGATTGGCTGTGATGGGATCAACTCGGTGGTGGCGAAATGGCTGGGGCTCGCCAAGCCGTCCGACTCGGGGCGCAGGGCCACGCGGGGCCACGCCAAGTACCCCGATCGGCCATGGCTTCGAGCCCAAGATGCTGCAGTTCAGCGGCCAGGGCTTCCGCGCGGGCTTGGTCCCGTGCAACCACACCGACGTCTACTGGTTCTTCACATGGTCTCCTTCTCCTACTCCGGGCGGTAAGGATGACGCCGAGCAGAACCCGGCGGAGATGAAGCAGTTCGTGCTGGCCAAGCTCAGAAGCATCAAGGCTCCTCCCGAGGTGCTGGAAGCGGTCGAGAGGAGCGAGATGAACGACGTCCTCGTGGCGCCGCTGCGGTACCGTCCCCCGCTGTCGCTCCTGTCCGCGAGCATCAGCAAAGGGAACGTGTGCGTCGCCGGCGACGCCCTCCATCCGACGACGCCGGACCTGGCGCAGGGCGCGTGCGTCGCGCTGGAGGACGCGGTCGTCCTCGCGCGGTGCCTCGGCGACGCCATCGTCGGGACGGAACGGGAGGTGGAGGCGGCTCTGCGCCGGTACGCCGGGATCCGGCGGTGGAGGAGCGCGCAGGTGATCGCGGCGTCCTACATGGTGGGGCGTGTGCAGCAGAGCGATCACGCCGTGGTGAGGTTTGCGCGGGACAGGCTGCTGTCCGGGATGCTCGCCAAGGGGCTCCTCATGATGCCGGATTTCGACTGCGGCACGCTGTGAACTGTGGGGGCTGTAACTTAATACTCCCCCGTAAACTAATATAAGAGCGTTTAGATTACTACTTTAGTGATCTAAATGCTCTTATATTAGTTTATAGAGGAAGTAAAATATACTTTTCCTTAATCATCCAGATCAAGAACATAGATTTTTGTCCCAGCTTTGCTAGACAAGATCAAAATAGTCTGTGTGCCGGATCAATTTATGTATGTATATATTCCAAGATGGAAGCAATACGATACCTTTCTTTCTGGATAAACCATTTAAATCAAATACCTACCTTCAACTAAAACAGGCATGCTAAGGGCAGCTCCAGCCCTTCCCCTAAACTTGTTTTTGAACACATTACAATCAAAGATGTTCACATACACGCACGCGGTCGTCGGGATGAAACCATCAGAAGCAGCACACTTTGAAGCAGGCTGGCGAGTCCTCCTCCGTCATCGTTGCCCGACCCGGCGTCGGAGTTGTCGTCGTCGGGCTTGGGACGGCGGAAGGTGGAGATGTCGCGGCAGGGCTTCTCGGCGGCCGCCTAACGCTCGCGGATGATCCGCTCCACCTCCTCCTGCCTCATGCGCAGTGCAGCCGCGGCCACCGAGGACGTGGGCTAGGGGCGAGGGTGGCGGTCGTTGGAGGCGTCATCGTAGGCGGCCGCGGCAATCTCGACGAGGGACCATTCCTCGCTTTACCTGGACATCTCCCTGTCGAGGCGACGGAGATGGCGCGTGGCCGTCTTCGACGTCGTCACGAAGTGCTCCAGGGCCTAGGCATACGTTAGGTTCGGGTCCGCCATGATGTGTGGCGGCGGAACCTTTGAGTCCGTGAACTTGGTTCGACGCGTGTCGTTGTGGCTTCCCGTCGGCGTTGTTGTCGGTCAGCGTACTCCTGCACCATCATGGTGCGCTGGGATGACGACAAGGAGCCGTCGCTGAGGAGGTAGTGCAGAATGCATCCGCACGCATTGGGCAGGGCGGCGGCGAGCAATGCTCCTCCTTCATGACACGCCAGGGGGGTGGCGAGAGCCACTACTCCTTGATGCGCCGGGGCGGCGGCGAGAGCCGCTCTTTCTTGACACGGCGTCCAATTTGTGAGCCGCGGCTATGGAGAGCGTGGAGTGGATGCCGGCTCCGACTTCACGGGGAGGAGCACCCCCAGTGGCGGAGCTGGGCCGTTGGTGTGGATGACGGAGCGATGGAGCATCAACTACATCTGCTCCCCGAACTCCGCGTTCATGCGGGCGTAGACCTGACCTGGCACCGCCGATGCGGACTTCGGCGGTGGCGGCTGCTGGTTCTCCTCGTCACCGGAGGAGATGACGATCTCCGCCCGCGTCGAGTCGCTGCCAACTGACGAGAACGACAACCCCGGAGTTTGAGCGTGGCGTCTCCACGAGTCGCCAGATCCCGCCCCAGAACCGACTGCCGGTGCCGATGCCTAGGACTTGCCCATCGACGGAGATGTGAAGGGTGATGGACGGGAAGGATCGCGGGAGGAGGGTGCGATGTGGACGGCGCCGGAGCGCGGCTTAAATAGCTGCGGTGAGGCCATGTGAAGGGCCAATCAGCCGCTTCAGTGCGGCGCAGCGGTCGGTGTTGGTTCCTCGGGAACCTGCGTTAGCATTGAAGCGGCGGCTATCGGGAGGTCGCGCCGGTCAGCGCCGCCCTCCCTCCCTCCCTCCGATCACATCGCGGCATAAATGTCGGCCTCCGCTTGCTCTAGGACTGTACGAATGCGGCGGTAAGCGACACATGCATCGAAAGAAAAGCGTGGGAGAGGCGGTGACGGGTTTTTGATGGGGCAGGGCGGTCAGAAACGGGATTGAGAGCAGTTCGGACTCTCGAAAACCTCACCCACTTTTGTCTTCGGTTTGCGGAAGTAATTGCGTTTGGACCATGCCGCGGACCGATACAGTACCACGTTGGATGACTTCTATAGTCCAAACAACACGGTCCAAACGATTACAGAAGGTGTACGGGTTGGCCTTGGATGCAGTAAGTTCCTCAACTTTGTCCTTTTTTTGTGAAAACTTCAGCTTTGTGTAGATACATGAATAGAGAACTGAATGGTTCACTCCGCGGCGGTGTGGCCCAATACGTACTACTTGCTCCGTTTTTAAATATAAATCTTAATTGAGATTTTAATATCAATTACATACATAATATGAACTACATACAGATACATACTGTATCCGTACATGTTTATAATAATCTATACTACTTATAAAAGAGCAAACATTATCTTCTCTAAGTGCACCTCACAAAACGTACACGGATACATTATCATCGCTTGATTAGTCACTCTAAACTCAATCTAATGGCTAGCCTTAACCTAATATATTCTCTTTGTGCACTTAGCAATTTACATTAACTGACCGTACTCCACCGCGAAGAAAAATTTGGAAGTCCACGCCTGGCCAATTAGGAAACTATAATCAGGGACACATCCTATTAAGAAATTAATCATGGGCTCATCTAATTATTATGAAACTAATCACAAAGGCATCCTATTATTAGAAAACTAATCACGGGCGCATCCTATTATTAGGAAAATAATCACGCGCATCCTATTAGAAAATTAATCACGGACACATCTAATTATTTGGAAACTAATCATAGACGCATCCTATTAGATAATGGATCACGAACGCATCTTGTAAGGGCATATTTATCCCTAAGGTGTTTTGGTGATTGATGACAACGCGTTTGCGGACTAATCGTGTGCCTTGAGTATCCCAGACATTTCATCGCTAGGCACAAGACGGTTGAGTGCCCCTCGAAGACTGTTGAAGACGACGTCTTTTTTTCGTTTCTTTTTGGTGGACTTGAGTCCTAGGAAAGCCGTACTATTAAGAGGGGGTCTACGTTGGAAAGGTTTGGTGGAATCATCACGTACACATCTTCTTCTTGTCCCCTCCTTTTTCCCTTGGAGCTTCCTCCGTTTTCTCGCTATGATAGCCTGGCTTATTAGGGATGATAGACTACTCATATCAATAAGGAATTCCTTCTTTTCCGGGAGCCCATTCGGAAAGAACTCCAAAGTTAAGCGTGCTCAGCTTGGAGTAGCGCCAGGATGGGTGACCGACCGGGAAGTTGCTCCCGGGTGCGCATGAGTGAGGACAAAGTGCGCAGAAAAGGCTAGTATTGATCTGTGGGGCCAGTCTAGATCCCGCCAGGAGTAACGACCACCGGCGGGTGTGTCCATGGCGTTACAAGTTGGTATCAGAGCCGACCCTCGCGGTTACACGGATGGTTGCAGACAGGTGCATGGTCATGTTGTTCATGACGTTAGTGGCCCGTCGTGGCACACGACATGGCACATGTACTGGACTGGAAGCACAAACGTATGTGCCAAGAAGGAACGTTCCTGTGGCCTGACGAGGACGTCGGTTCCTCTGAGTGGGGGTGTATGTGATAGCCTGGCTTATTAGGGATGATAGGCTACTCATATCAATGAGGAATTCCTTCTTTTCCGGGAGCCCATTCGGAAAGAACTCCAAAGTTAAGCGTGCTCATCCTGGAGTAGCGTCAGGATGGGTGACCGACCGGGAAGTTGCTCCCGGGGTGCGCATGAGTAAGCACAAAGTGCGCAGAAAAGGCTAGTATTGATCTGTGGAGCCAGTCTAGATCCCGCCAGGAGTAACGACCACCGGCGGGTGTGTCCAGGGCGTTACACTCGCCTCCCTGGTTCTGGCTGCTGAGTTGGGTCACGGTAGTACTGCTCCCAGGAAAGCAGTAGTACCGTAGGCATCAGTGGTAGTACCGTGCGGTGGCGCGGTAGTACAGCAGGTGCCCACGGTAGTACCGCTCCCCTGGAGCTGCACTACCGCTGCCCACCAGGCTAGTGCCGCTCCTTCGCGGTAGTAGGGGCGGATGTAATTTTTTACATCCGCACCTACCGCGGTAGTACCGCTTTCGCTCCGCGGTAGTACCGCGCTATGCTGTCAGGCAGTAGTACCACCCCTCGGCAGTACAACTGTGTCGGGTTTTTGCTTATTCCGTTTCTTTGCGGAAGTAGGCACAGATGTTTCCTTCCCCCTGGCTAGGGGATTTCTGCCTTGCGGTAGTACCGCATGGAGGCGTGGTAGTACCACGCTTGCGAAAGTACCGCCCTTAGCTCCTGCACGTCAGATCTGACCTTGCTATCGCTGGGGTTGCGGCAGTACCGCGGGCTAGTACGGTAGTACAGCATAGCCGTGCGGTAGTACCGCTTGGTAGCAAGCGGTAGTACCGCGCAGCCCTGCGGTAGTACCGCTGGCCTGGCACGGTAGTACCGCTGGCCGCGGGCTGGTTGGTGGGTAACGGTTGGATCTTTGTCCTACACTATATAAGGGGTCCCCTTCTTCCCCGTTGACTCATCTCTTCCAACCCCAAGCTCCATTATTGCTCTAAGCTCCATTTTTGCCCGATCTCACTCCCTAGCCAATCAAACTTGTTGATTTGTTCGGGAGTAGTTGAGAAGGTCTCGATCCACACATCCATCAAGAGAAATTTGATTCCCCCACTAATCCCTTGCGGATCTTGTTACTCTTGGGTGTTTGAGCATCCTAGACGGTTGAGGTCACTGCGAAGCCATAGTCCATTGTGGTGAAGCTTCGTGGTGTCGTTGGGAGCCTCCAATTGAGTTGTAGAGATTACCCCAACCTTGTTTGTAAAGGTTCGGTCGTCGCCTCCAAGGGCACCAATAGTGGAATCACGACATCTCGCATTGTGTGAGGGCGTGAGGAGAATACGGTGGCCCTAGTGGCTTTTTGGGGAGTATTGTGCCTCCACACCGCTCCAACGAAGACGTACTTCCTCTCAAAGGGAAGGAATTTCGGCAACACATCCTCGTCTCCACCGTCTCCACTCTTGGTTATCTCGTGCCTTTACTTGTGCAAGCTTATTTGTTTCATATCATTTGCTTGCTTGTGTTCCTATCCTTGTTGCATCATATAGGTTGCTCACCTAGTTGCATATCTAGACAGCCTACTTTGATGCAAAGTTTAAATTGTTAAAGAAAAGCTA